CTTTTGCAAAGCGTGCAATATATCCAGTGACGACACAGTAACTCGAAAAGTACAACGACGCAAACGAGAGAATCTTTGGTATCTCGGGAAAAAGAAACACTTTTAGCCTCAACACACTTTGGTAGTGTAAAACTAATGTAGCCTCTTAACACTTTGGTTGTGTGAACAAATCACCTCCATGCACTCGCGACTGCACGCACACGAACACGTACATCCCGTGAACACGACGGAGAAACGCGCATCGTACACAGCGGAGAACCTCGCGGCTGAGCACTCGGGTTGCCTCCCACTCGGGCGGGGTCGACGGTGCAAGGTGCGTCCGCCAGCGTTACCACAGGTGAGCGAGGTGGCCCGGTGCGAAGGCGGTCATGCTGACGGGGGCGGGCGCGCGTGCACACTGCCGAGCCGCCAGCAGCCACCAGGCACCGCGGTTGTCAACTCGCACTCAACGCTGCGCGCGCAACTAAACTCTACGGTTTCTTACACCGATACGTGTAACCAAATAAAAGAAAAAAACCGGGACTTAAAACCCCGAGGAGTAAACACAACAATACTCGGGAACTTACAGGACATTTCCCGGATCGGGGAATTTTTTTGCAAGGGTGAGTCGAGAACTTTCACATAACACGCCGCCGCCTCGAATGTGCAACGGGAGGCCAACGATGCACTGCAGGTAATCTCTATTGCAAAACTTCCAATCTTCTACGAAACCTGTTGTAGGCAAAGGTCATGGCTAGCTGCCCTCGCCCCGGTAGAATCCTGTTTACATAAAGGATCTGGACTTACGTGTGTCATTGTTGCTGTGCCTTTTGCACGGAGGCGACGACCGGCTTTTGGGGCCAGGAGGATGTCATTATTAAATTCCGGCTTTCTAAAACTGCCAAGCCGAAGCTTAAACCGAATTCTACGCACGTACAAGGACACACCGCCGTTCACACGCTCCTACAACGAACGAACGATCAAATTCATCTTTATCATTACATACTATCATTACCTTCAAGCAAACAGCAACAGTAGTAGTAGTAGTAGTAGTAGTAGTAGTAGTAGTAGTAGCCTTGGCGGTAGTATTAGTTATAGTAACAGTAAACAAACACTCAAAGTTTTTTTTACGAGACAGCAATTGCAGCTCGAATGCGGTCCCGGGTTGCATATAGTACCATACCCCTTGACTTCCTCCCATATTCCATTCATAAGACCTTGGCTCTCTTCACCATAAGTCTGCTGAATGGTGACTGATAGGAAAGCGACATCTTATTGTTATGAATGAATTATCTGTATTTGTGTAATAATAACTACGTAGTTTAGAGTATAGTTGCCTTTCAAATAACTTGAATGGAGTCAAGGGATGATAGTATTGTAAGTATTGCAGAAACTGAAGTAGTATGAGTAATAAGCAGTTGCAGAATTGTAGTAGTTCTAAGAACAGTAGTAGCAATAGTAGAATAAATAGTAGAAGTAGTAGTAGAAAGAGAAGTAGTTGTAGTTGTAGTGGTAGCGGTGGTGGTGGTGGTAGAAGTAGCAGTAGTAGTGGTAGTTGTAATGGTAGTAGTATTGGTAGTAGTAGTGTAGTAGTAGTAGGGGTAGTAGTAGTAGTAGCAGTAGTAGTAGTAGTAGCAGAAGTTGTGGTGGTGTTAACTGCGTGGTCGTGGGAAAATAAGTAGTAGTAGTAGTAGTAGTAGTAGTAGTAGTAGTAGTAGTAGTAGTAGTAGTAGTAGTAGTAGTAGTAGTAGCAGTAGTAGTAGTAGTAGTTGTTGTTGTAGCACCACCACCACCTTAGGCGCCAACGACATTCCCCGAAACTAACAACACGAAAAAAAAAAAAATAAACACGACATTTCCGAACACTTCCGACAGCGAAAGAGAAGAATTCTACCTGTTGCTCCGCCGCGGACTTCATTGCGAGGCAGTTTACGCGCGCGGTTGCAATGCTGATAATTCCCCCTTGCAAGGTTGCAGAGGTGAACAAAGGCGAACTCGCGGGGCCGTGGGAGGAATAGCTTGAGGTCGAGAGACAGCATGGCCGATCCACCCGAGCATTGTGGCGGGACTGATCGTAGTTACTTACTCGTTATCGGAGTTACGCTTGTTATTATTATTTTTTATTTTTTATCGCGTTATTCTTTGCGTTCTGAGGCCGTCGGCTCTGCTCTCTCGTGAGATCGTGTGTCACTTTTTGGCTATCGATTGGTGGATTGTTTTTATTATTGTTATTGTTGTTGTTGTTGTGGGTCTTCTTATTATTATCATTATTTATATTATTATTAGTAGTAGTAGTAGTATTGTCATCAACGTTATTATTATTGTTGTTGTCATCGTTATCATTATCATCATCATCACCATCATCACTATCAGCACAAGTATTAATCCATCCATTTCTTTTACTTCTTTTTTCACCCCCCACCCCCCCCCCCACCCCCGCACCCCCGCACCTACCCACCACCCACCCACCACCAACATCTGCCGTCTTGCCCTCAACAGCAAAACTTTCAACTTTTCCAACCACCGCAAATGTTTCCAACGGCTGCCACCACAACATTTCAATTCCCACGGCTTACCCCTTTCTGTTACTTTGTGGGGGAGGGGGAGGGGGTGGGAGTATGAGGAGTGGAGAGGGGGAGGTGGGAGGGGGGAGGAGGAGAAGAAGGAAGTGAGAGGGAGGTCTTCACTAGATACTATAGTCGTCTATCGTGGTGGCTGATGGAAAGGGGTGGGAGGGTGTGCCCAGCGAAGGTGGGTTATAGATATAAATTGGGTATTTTATTCCATTTCATTTCAGTTATCATTACTACTGTTACTACTACTACTATTGCAACTACTACTACTGCTGCTACTACTATTACTGCTACTACTGCAACTGCTACAACTACTGATACTACTAGTACTACTAATATTACTACAAATAATACTAATACTATTACTACTATTACTTCATCTCCTACTTATACAACTGCTACTACTATTCCTACTACTACTACTACTATTACTAGTAATAATAACACCAGTATAACTACTGTTACTATCATTGTCGATATTGTGTATCAACTTTTATCGTTTTATCCTGTCTTTTATATCGAAGAAGCTCCATTGGTACTATAAGAAACCACATCAGTAACATAATCCATTATTCATTTCATAATTTTTAATTTGATTATTCAACACTTCATCTGTCTATTTTGAGGTATATATATATCACTTGTTATATATATATATATATATATATATATATATATATATATATATATATATATATATATCACTTGTTTACCCTTTTGGTCTAGATATAATTTTGTATATACTTTACTCCTTCGCAATCGTCATAAATGTATTTTCAGATAAATTAACAAAGATCTCATGTACAGTGACACATACCAGACCAACCTCATTATAAACCTAGCAACCCATAAAAAATAATAATAAATGAAAAATAAAAAATAAAGTCACTAAAAAACGAAACGATTCACTTATTACTCAAAACAACCAACTTTTCAACACCCAACTCCCTGACATTTCACACATATCGCTGGTATTAAATCCAAGTATTCGAACAGAGGAATTACATCACATCATTATTACCATTGTCATTATCCCCATTAGCTATAGTGTCAAAGAATTAAATCGTTACTCAGTTTCAAAATTACCGTGTGCCACCTAGTCCTTCACCGTGAAAACAATGGTTCCACTAACGAAATTTCTAACAATACACTATAAACGTCTTGCCAACGACTCTGGCATGAGTAACGGAATCGTTAAATGGGCAATTAGTCGCTGTAATAAATTAAATGTTGCTAAACTCTTGGCAGATAACTGAAGGAACTACCCCGGTTTTGCTTCCTTTGGAGTAACATTGCGTTTGTGACCTCCTTGGGCCGCTATGATAAGTACCGAATTACAACACCGGAATAGTTATCAATTTACCTTGTTCATGTCAAAGATCTCAGAGTATACGAAAAAAAAAAAAAAAAAAAAAAAAAAAAAAAAAAAAAAAAAAAAAAAAATATATATATATATATATATATATATATATATATATATATATATACATATATATATACATATACATATATATATATATAAATATATATATATATAGAAATCGGAGTCAGACGAAAGAAAGGACGCAACTATCTTTTCACATCTTCGAAATTTATCTAAATGCTATGGTTTGAAATTCTCATCTACAAACTTGTAAAAGAATATCTTAAACTCCATATTCATACATTAAACGTAATAAATGAAAACTACAAATTTATAAGTTTTTATCCTGCACATTTGATTCGATTCGATCTTCATACAAAATTAAAAGCTTTCATAATGACCTTGAAGATTTTGGGCTTATTATTAGTATCAACTTATTATTCATTTCAACTTTCCCCGCTTATGTCACACCCCATCCTTTCCATCGGAAGTCATTCTCATTTATTTATTAATTCGCACCTTTCCGCACTAGAGCCGTTCCCTTTATAAACTATGACATCAGATTAAATTACTTAAATGTCAGAGTATCTTTTTTCAGCGGGACTTTTGAACCCGAGCGTCAATCTTTGTTATCAGAAAGAATGGAAGTAGATATGAGGGTAGTCACGTTTTCCCTAACATATTAAGTGAATATTCATATCAGATAATATAGGTAATTAGATAAACAACTGTGTTATTAGAGACAAATGGAAAAGACATTTCGGTTGTTTTACGTACCTCCATTTGTAATAATGAATATATATATTTTTTAACACGTATTTCCTTACTTAGAAGAATTATCTTGACGATTCTAATACCTCATCTGTGAGACTGCTTCAATGCCATCGGTAAAATATAACATAAAACTTATAATTCAATAACTATGCTTATAATACCTAAATCTTGCGGGTTTTTTGTTCCATACGGCTATACAATTTGTTAAGAGTTTACCCTGAAACTGGTTTTCTTTGGTGCTCGTAGAAAACTTCGACTGTAAAAGACGGGTAACTAATATATATTTCTATAGTTTAAATATTGCTACTTACTTTGTCGAATAATTGTCTCCATTTCTGAAAAGAGACATTTTCATTAATTACTACAACAAATAGTTTCATATTCAAAACACGTTTCTGATAAGTAGTTATCAATAAATATATGACTTTTCATTATAATATATGACCCATTTCAGCATGAGAGAGAGAGAGAGAGAGATAGAGAGATAGATAGATAGATAGATAGATAGAGAGAGAGAAATCGGAAGTGCATGAGAGTAAAGGACGAGACCGCGAGAGCCAAGCGCCACTTACGTCCGTCAGGAGTTCCCTCCTCGCTGCGGCCTCGTCGATATCAGAGTCGGACTCGGTGTCTATGCCGTCTATGGGTTCGAGGTCGTCCTCCAGGTCGCTGAGGGTTGCCAGCATGCGGTCCATCGAGGTCAAGATGTCGTCCTCGGGCGGCGCCGTCGGGGCGATCTTGACGTCCACCTTGGTCTTGGCGTCGGGCGGGCTGCCCTTGAGGGTCAGGAACCGCCGGTAGTCGTCGCTGCTGATGGTCACGTCGCCGTTGCCGTTGGAGTTGCCGTTGTTGTTGTCGTCGTCGGCCATTCGGATGAGGCGGCTCTTCTCCGACTTCGCCCTGGGGCTGCGGGGCCGCGGGGAGCTTAGGTCGTCGCGCAGGTCGTCCCGCAGCGACCGGTGGTCGTCGGAGAACGAGGTGGACACGGCGCTCTCCTCCCCGTCGGACAGCGCCTCCACGATGGCCGTCGGCGCCCGGGGCAAGGGGGATATCGTCGGCGGGGTGGAGTCCGTCGGCGCCGGAGAGATCGTGGGCGTCTCCGAGGGCGTGGCGGAGGTCGTGGGCGTGACCGTCGGAGTGGTCGTGGCTGTGGGCGAGGTGGTCGTGACATCCAGCGGGCGGGAGTGGGTGCCGTCGCCCCCGTTGCCGCCGTCGCCAGCCACGTGGGCGAGGTCGGCGATGACCACCTCTCCGCCCCACGACACGCGAACCATCCTGAGGCCGAGGCTGGGGGGGGGGGGGGGTCAGCGGGTGAAAAGTCTACCGAAGGAGATCTCTTTTGGCCAACCTTCTAGATATGTCTGAAGTGTTTTCGTTCAGTTGTGCGAGGATCAAACATATTCACCAAATGACAGAAATTCACGGTTTAGTCTTCTTTTTTTCAACAGGATAATCTCCAATGTTTTTTTTTATGTTTCGTTATCCTTTCACAATCTTCTCTTTCCAAGACGAATTCTTCTGTAGTTTCCCTCACAAGGCAATCACAAGGAGTCTTAGGCACCATGAAATGCACGAAACACACTCGCCATCCAATCACCGTGGCTTCGACACTGAGTGGGCACTGCAATAAGGCACCGTTGCCGGGTTTACACTGCACCAGTTATCAGGTTTTCGTCTACGCACCAGACAAGCCTAAACTATTACGATTACTCACGAAATGCTCTGTTAAAGGCACGCTATCTTCTCTTCCCACTGCAGGCACTTCGAACGAGGTCACTTATAGTAGTTTCATAGAATTCCTTTTGCTTTAAATCATATTCCGTTGTCATTACAAAGCGGAACATATGTGAAAATAAATAACTGCAGTTAACATTGAACCCGTGAATTCAGAAGGGTGTGTCTGTTCGCATCATAACCAAGTACAAAACACAATACTTCTCCTGGAATGTCGCGGCTTCGAATCCGTTTTCGAAACAGAAAAAAATGCTTCAGAAACAGTCTTCTAAAAGTTTCTTCAATCTCCATCCAGCGGAAAGATAACTCAGTGTCATCTTCCTCCGCAGAAACGAACAGTTATCTTAATCATACTATTATCTTCGTGGGTCCGGACTCCCCTTTACAAACAAAGGTAACCAGAAGCTCTTACGAATTTAGAAGAGCTAATTCCGATAATGCAAATTAACGCTGGTACAGTTGTCGTCGCCCGTGGCTTGTTCCTGGCAGGCTTTTCTCTCGGGAAAATCCGCTCTCCGAAGAAACAGTCTGGAAAGGAAGATGATAAAAAAGTTAGATACAGTGAGGTTTAGTTGAAGATAATATGAAGTCATTTTTTCAGCAAGTAATACTGCAGATTAGACAGTCATTACCTAAGCTATTTGTATTTCGTTAAATATCTAGAGGCATTTGTAACACCACTGAAATATTACTAGCATGTTATTGTGTATGTGTGTGTGTGTGTGTGTGTGTGTGTGTATGTGTGTGTGTGTGAGTGTGTGTGTGTGTGTGTGTGTTACATATATTATATATATTTTACATATAATTATGTTTATATATACATGTTTATATATAATACACTATATTATAATACACTCGGAATATATGTATATATACACATTTGTTGTAACACAGTATGAACTGGAATGTTACAGCATTTCAGAATTTATGTTTGTGCCATTTAATCTTTCATAAGGTCGACAACATTGCGAACTCAAAAATGCCAGTTATAAATTCAAATTTTCAGGGTGATATCCTGTTTTCATTTGTCAGATTTTGGCCGAAACATGGCGTGGACTGCATACTAAAATTCTCTGCAATATATACTGAATTTCTGCCTTTGCTTTGCACTGCGACTCTGATAACTTTAATTCACATCCTCACTTCACTTAACGAGGCAATGCCAATAATCGATCATTCCCATTATAATGCTAATAACACTGATAATAACCTGTATGTTATTGCCTTTTCAAAGTAATTGTTCATATCGGTATCCGGTTTCTAACTAGATGCTATAATCAGGCTTCCATAATTATGTAAATCATATAGATAGAAATTGAAACTAAATCTGAACTAATGCTTAAATTGAGCAATAAAGCTTGTAATAAAACTCTTTATCGTTGAATCTGTATTAAGTCTGGATGACGTAATGTAACCTCACTTGACTCCAATGTAATAATTCTTTATCAATATATAATCACCGTCGAGTTGTTTTGTTGTTTTTTCTCTCTACATTCATCGAATGAGATACAGAATATGCAATTTAATCTGAAAAAAAGAAAAAATAAGGAAAAAAGTAATAAAGAAAGAAAGAAAGAAAAAAAGAAAAGAAAAGAAAGAAAGAAAAAAAGAAAAGAAAAGAAAAGAAAGAAAGAAAAAAAGAAAAGAAAGAAAAAAGAAAAAAAATGAAAAAAGAAAAGAAAAAAATATCTATATCTATATATATATATATATATATATATATATATATATATATATAATACAGACAAACATATACACGTTCTAAGCTATGAATAGTGTGTGATTATCTCTAAATAAAAAAAATGAATGTCTGTGGTGTGAGGCGCCATTTATTGTTACTTATTATGGAATTTATATATATATGTGTGTATGTGTGTGTGTGAGTGTGAGTGTGTGTGTGTGTGTGTGTGTGTGTGTGTGTGTGACTGAGTGAGTGAGTGTGTGGTTCTTTATGTCTCTCTCTCTCTCTCTCTCTCTCTGTGTGTGTGTGTGTGTGTGTTTGTCATCTGAACATAATAATCATATCTAATTGTTCTGTCAGTAAAGTTAATCTTCCTTATGTCTCATCTCTAAATTATAATTAAAATGAACAGACAGCATGCGTGATACTGCTTGTGTGTGTGTGTGTGTGGGTGTGTGTGTGTGTGTGTGTAGATGGAGTGAGGAAGAGAAGAGAGAGTGAGTGGAAGAGGGAGAAGACAGAGAGGGAGGGAGGGAGGGAGGGAGGGAGAGAGGGAGAGAGAGAGAGAGAGAGAGAGAGAGAGAGAGAGAGAGAGAGAGAGAGAGAGAGAGGGCGAGAGAAAAGAAAGAGAGAGAGAGAGAGAGAGAGAGAGAGAGAGAGAGAGAGAGAGAGAGAGAGAGAGAGAAGCGAGAGGGGGAATGCCAGACAGACAGACTGAAACAGAGAAGATGATGGATAGTGAAGATGGACACAGACAGTTGATAAACTAGATCCTGATTTCACAACATTCATCACAACATAACGTTTCCTCGGTATATGAAGACAGTAAAAAAAAAATGAAACGGAAAAAAAAGAAAATATGAAACTCGATCCTTCCCCGAGACTTAAGGATTATACCAAAGTAAACAAACGTGGAAATGAAGAGGCTTTCGATTCCTTTGATCATAAGGTCGATTATCTCGTGCACATTCGCAGGAAAAGCGCCCGCACGTGGCAGTCCAATCGCGCTTCTCGAACGTTCGGATTTCGGCGAAGGAGCATGAATATAATTTGAATATATTTTAGACGTTGAAAAAATATATGAATACATTTTAGACGTTTACAAAAGAGAGAGAGAGGGAGGGAGAGAGAGAGAGAGAGAGAGGCAGACAGAGAGAGAGGCAGAGAGAGAGAGAGAGAGAGAGGCAGACAGAGAGAGAGGCAGACAGAGAGAGAGGCAGAGAGAGAGAGAGAGAGAGAGAGAGAGGGGGGGGAGAGAGAGAGAGAGAGAGAGAGAGAGAGAGAGAGAGAGAGAGAGAGAGAGAGAGAGAGAGAGAGAGAGGCAGAGAGAGA